ACTAAGAATTCTGCCATCACTGTCCTGATTTTGGGTTCTGCCCCTAGAGTTATGGGTAGGTCGATCATTCCCTTGGGGACGAGACTGTCCTCGGTGAATCCATAGAGTGGCGATGGGCACATCCTCAAGTCTCTTTCTATGAACCTCATTTCTGAAAAACTCTCAAGAAGATGATGCTCGCTGCACTGCCATTATCGACCATCACCTTTAACACTCTAGCGTTGCCGATCCTGGCTGTGACTATAATCACATCATGATTATGGCAATGAGATTCTTCACATTTTTCCATTGTGAATCCTCTCACCTCGCTCTCTTGCTTGGGCCGCTTTAACGACTTTTATTCATAGCTCATTACTCGGGGGACCGAATCTGTTCTGGCTTCTCAAGCGTATTGCTCGCGGAGTGTCTTGAGCTCCCTGCAATAACTGGACCCCTGTAGATCATGCCCACCAAAACTTCATCATTGGCGTTTGCCGAGGCTTGTTGGATTTGGTTATTCTGCTTGCCAGTACCTTCGCGAGCTAGTGCCTCCTTAACAAATTCTTTTAGGTGGCCCATTCTGATCAGATTTTCAATGGCGTCCTTTAAAGCCCGACACTCATTGGTGTTATGCCTAATGTCCCGGTGATATTAGTAATATTTCTACCGATCTTTTCTGCCCGGAGCCCCTCTCATTCTTTCTGGAGCGGGCAATCTCTTAGCCTTATAGGAGACTTCATATATATAAGCTATGTCTTGCGTGAGGAGGGTGTATTCTGTTTATCATGGGAAAGGTTACCTGTCCCTATGGTTATCTATTCTTTGTCTCTTTTGGGACTTATTCTAGTCCTTGTCATTGCGGTCTTGGCCCCTCTGCTTGTTTGATGGGCGATCTTGTTGCCTATCTGAGACTCTTTGCAGTAAGCTTCTAGCTAAGGTGGCTAGCGAGCCTTTTGCTCGTTGGTGCTTTGTAGCCATCTAGTAAAACTTTGGTAGGCTCACATGATCTTCACTTTAGAGCTCTTTCAACAACTTCATTTGCGGCTTGATGCTTGCGATTAGCAAAGTCTGGATTGACTCTTCGGGTGCATTCGTGACTTTTGCTTGCTTCTTCTGGAACCTCGTCAGATACGAGGTTAGTGTTTCATCTCTCTTCTGACGAATATTGCTTGGGTAGCTGAGCGGCATTGTGAATTATCTCCTCGCTTGGAATTGTTGTAAGTACAGCAAGGAGAATTGTTGCCAAGAACTAATGAAGTTCGCCTTGAGCCTTTTATACCACCTCTTGGCATCTCCTATCAATGTGACTGTGAAGCAGTAGTACTTTGCCAAGTAGCAATGATGCAACTCCATCAAGTCATTGAAAGTGTTGAGGTGGTCTTTGGGATCTCCTTTCCTATCGATCTTACTTTATGGTGCCTTGAATCCTTGGGGAAACAGGGCCTGACAAACTTCTTTTGTGAAGGGAGAGCTCACTATATCTTTCGCCGTATTGTTCTAGCGGGCTCTTAGATAGTCGAACATTTTCTGCACTTGATCCAAGTCTTCGTTGTAAGGGTTGCCCTGGCTGGCTTTGTTTAGCCTTACCTTGAGCAGGTGAGTTCGCAAATCCGTTGCTTGTGAGCCTCCTACATTATGCACATTGATGCACGAGGTTGAGTCATAATGGCTAGGCTGGTAGGTGCTATCATGCTCGTTAGTACATTGCTCGTGACATTGGTTATAACTGAAACGTCAGTCATTGCCAGATTGGTGCACATGACTCGTCTTGCGTGCGAGGATTGAGCCTATCTTGGGCATGGGTTAAAACCGACATGCTGACGCTGGGTATACCATTGAGCAGGTCGGGTTCTTCATCTTCTCCCATAGGATGTTTGCCCAGTCACCTTGCGGGGTTAGTTTGCCCATGGGACTCTATTTCTTGTGTAGAATACTCCCAACAGTGCCAGAGTTGTCGGCCGTGCCTCGGTGCAGAGGAACCAGATCGTTCGTTGGCTGAGGGACGCCCTATCGGTTGAGTGTGGTCGGTCCAGATCCTAGGGGGCCAGTTGTTGATTTCTTAGCTTGGCCACATTTTGTTGCATAACTTGTGTGACCATTGTTCTGATCATCTCCACCAATTAGCCGTTCTTGGGATTTGACGTCCCTGCCCCCAGTTGGTTTGTGGCCTGCTACGCCGGCGACACTAGTGGTCGATGTTCAACGACATCTTGATATACCTTCTGATGGGTGGTCTCCACATTATCGCGGTTTTCGGTGATGGTTTTCGATCTTGTACGTACCATTTTGGGCCTTGATTGATTGAATCATAAAGGTTGTTTGCCAGAAATTTTGAGATTTTGGCAAGGGCCCTCCTTCTAGCGCCAAAATGTTAATGCAAAAATACACCAACTAGAATGATCTTATTGACCTTGATAGGATCGGAACTAATATGTGCGTGATCACACATAAACAATAAAATGCGGCAAAGTAAATGGCAAGAAAGTTTTTAAAGTGGTTCGGCGAATGAAACTCTTGAGCTTACGTCCACTGTTTTTGTATTTGTTGTGAGAGCTTACAATGACAGTCCTAGAATAATTTCTTAACCCCTTTCTTATTGTTGGAGGGGGTTTATTTACATATTTTGTACAAAGGAAAGAGCGAAAATAAATGGATTACAATTAAATTTGAAATGCAACTTCGATATTCTTGCAATTGGGCGCTATGATTGCACAAAGATGGTTGTCAATCTGATCCTTTCCGAGATGCCTGAGATTTGAAGTTATTCGTAAATTGGTTAAGCAAATGTAAAGATTAGTCGCGACTAGCTTGTGCTAGGTCGAGTTATAAATCAACGAGCTTATGCTGGGTCAAACAATCGGTAGAGTCGAGTTGGCTTTGGATCGGGCTATAACCTTACGATTCTCCGAGCTTGATGGAAAAATCACACACAACAGTAAGTAAGACTTTGATGCAAATTTTGGACAATTTTACCCTTCTTCTTCAATTCTTTCTCTTCTCTTTTCTTCTTCTTTTTTTCTTGTTTCTTCTCATTAGTCATTTTAGATTTATGTTTTTTTGTATTGCTTGTATATGTTTAAGAGTGTATATTATGTTCATATATGTTTAATATAAATGAAATAATACATATTTAAGAAAAAGTTAAAAAAAAACACTTCGAATTGGAAGAAATTTTCAAAAAAAATTGCAGAAACTCAAGTCACAAAAGTCTAGTCTTGCACGAGTTTAGTCTCGGAAGAGTCCTGTCTCGCATGAGTGGGGTATAATGATATTAACCCTACTTGAGTGGAATCTTTTAATATTTTATAGGGGTTATAATGATATTTTACATAATATATTATATGTAAACTATCAATTTGACCCGTAAAATATGAAAAGTCCACTTGAATGAGGCTAACATCATTATACCCCTTAAGCATTGCAAGAGTCTAATAGCACGAATTTATTCATTAGTTTTCAACCTAATTTTAGGTAACACAATTATTATTATTAGTATTATTAGTATTATTATTTTTTGTATACACTACATATATTTTTGACATTTTATATTTATTTTACACTATATTCTTTTGAAAAATCAGCTAAAAAACCGTAATATTCTACACTTCAATCTTAAATCAAAAGCTTTTATTTTTTATTTATTTTTTATGGAAGTAATGTTATTAATGTGATTAATGTGGAAGACAAGGCTAGAAGTGTCCAAAAATCTTATGAGAGGTCTTTCTTACAAAGTAATTTAAAAGTTAGTTATTTTTTAATTTGTCTTTTTAAAAAAGGTTAACTAAGTAAATTTATTTCCTAGTTTTTATTCACTCATTTTCTTTTAATTTAAAAAATTCTCAAGATTATCAAACTAATTTTTTAATGAAGACAGTTCTTTAGAAATGACAAAATTATTGGGATAAAACATATGAGATAATTTTGTTAATTAGTCAAACATAATAATAATCATTAGTGTTAAATTGATGACAAAATGATAATGTGTAATTAATAAATCAAGCTATCAATTATCATATATAATCCATCAGTTTGACAGCTAACTATCCAAATTTGACCCATTGTTTTAAAACCCAAATCGGATTGAGACTCGACAGCTTTTCCAGTCTGGTTTAGGTTCTAGGGGGTTTCTAATATTTTTCAAAGTTGTAGGTACTAATTATAATTTTCTAGAGGTGTTTGTATTTCAAAATTTTAGGGAATAATTTAATCTTTTGGGGCATTTTAAAATAAATTAAAATTTTAGAGCCTAATGTGCAATTTTGTAGGGGTATTTCTATAATATATTAAAATTTAAGAAACTAATTTGCAATTTTTTAAAAATATTTTTATTGCTAACATCATCGGTCCAACCGACCAGTCGACGCGTGACCCGATCACCTTGTCAAGTCTCACAATAGGTTGGGTTTTAAAACAATGATCTCACTGATATCAATTGACATCTTCAAATCGGTCAAAATACGTAGGCAACCATTGTCACTGTCTTTCTTCGTCGTTTCTACAGCCTTTCTGACAACCAAATTCAACAAAACCCTACTCAATCTAAGCCAAAACATTCCCATAAACATCTAATAATTCAAAGGAAAAAAAAAAAAACTTTAAATTGAAAAACTAAAAATAAAACCCTAACATACCTTGTTCAATCGGGAATGGAGGATTTGATTCTGCAAATCTGATGTACTTTGGCCAATTTTGGATACTAAAAGGTTAGGATTAAGTAGGGTTAAGTGTGTTTAATTGGGTATTTGAAGTTTATAAATGAAATGACAATTTCATCCTTGCAAATAATAGATTTTGGGTTTAGGCTAGTCCTTGAGACACTTTCCCAACCTAGGCTACTTCTCAGTTCTCTCTTCTAAATTGGGTCAGTTTTTATAATTTCTCCAAACTAAAGTTCATTGGTCGAATTTCTTAAGTACTCAGAAATCGGCAAATCCATCAAACCAGTTAGGGCCTAGCTCCCCCGCTGCGATGCAACAGCACCTGAGCGACCCAGAAATCGCCATTACGGCATAAACAGTCTTTGTCCTTGCAAAAACTCAACAAATTTATGTAAAACAAATAACAATATTTTATTGGATCTAAAATGTACAAAATCATTTCAAGCCATCATCAAAAGCTTGATTCATGAAGATGACGGTGGATGTTGATGTTGATACATAGACTGCATTTTGGATTCTAACAAAGAAACATATTTATCAAGCATCGATATCACGACTTCAAATTGAGTGACTTGTTGCTCAATTGCATCAATTTGCTGAACATACTCATCAAAGCTGCTACTTTTCGACTTCAACTGTTCTACAAAAACCCTTAACCCAGACGCCACATCACCAAACCCTTTGTACTCATCTGCCACTCTCAGATTCATCTTCTCCAAAAGTTCTAATGTATTGTTCGTCCCCTACAACAATATCAACATATTTAATTAGGTTTAGATTTCCTCTATATATTTTTTTTTAAAAGTTAGATTGAGATCTGACCTGGAGTTCAGATTTGACCATGGTGGATATGCTGGTGAAGAGAGCATTCAATGACTCTGCCAGCTCATCTCCCCCCTTCGACTCAGCCTCCTCCTTCCCCATTATGCCGAGTTGGGACTCATTGAGTAACTGTTTCACAGAGCCAAAGATTTAAAGTAAGAGCCAAATGAAACAGCGCCGTTACCCACTCCTCATTATGGTATATGCCTGCTATAAATTATTGTATCAAATTGCAAAGAAACTTGCAAAAGAAATAAAAAGTAAAAATATAAGAGTATTATGTTAAAAACCAGATTAGCAGTGACTCCCAGTTTTTACAAATATCAAGCACTAGTTGATTTTCCAAAAAACCAAACCGCAAGCACAAAGAACTCTAAACTCCCACTAGTAATTAAATTTTTTAAATAGTTCAAACATCTACTTCCCCACTACTTAGATTGCATTATGAATTGTATTTTCTTAAGAATTCATTAACTACTATGGGACATAACTTTCCCACCTCATACCCACTTTGTTTTCCTAATTTAACCTTGAAGTGTTTCTCAACTCTTATCCATCACTTGAATTAATAGTACCATACCCTCCTTATTTAGAGGTTTAAGCCCTAATTAAAATGGCTCATTTTCTTAATTGAAGCCTCAGTAGTCCTGGTTAATTTCAACTAACCAGCTGCTAATTGAGCACTTCGCATAGCAGAAATATTACAGTAGAGAATAAAGTTATATGTGCGGCCATCAAAGTATGCACTTAAAAAAAAAAAAAATTGAGATTGCATATAATATATGTAATATATTTGGACCACAATAATTAAGATCCATCTAAAGGATCACAAGAAGATCTATACATTGTAAATAGAACAGCTAAAAAAATCTAATGATCAAATTCTTTCTGTATATATGGACTAGGATCAATGGTATCACATCTTTACGTAAATTATAACACAATTTGTAGACCATTAAATCAAGATACTTCCAATGGTTGAGATTTGCATATAATATATAAAATTCCTCAGGTACCTTAATTATGTATGTTAAATTTCATCTTATCTGCTAAATATGCTTTGGTCAACTAGCTAAAAACCATAAAACTGTGTCACATTTTGTGGAAAAAGTATGATGCCATTGATCCTATCTATAAATATATGACTGAGTGATATATACTTAGAAGAAAAGGACTGAAGGCAGAACTCTAATTTAAGGAGGAGAATTGCAAATGCTCAAAATAGCATAATTGAAAATAAACGAAACAGAAGTTACTCCACAACCAAGTAATTTCAAAATTGATAAGTAAAATCTGTAACAGGATCTTATATCATATCAAACCACCAAATAACTTTAAAACATATATCGTCAAAGAAGCCTTACTGGTGGCATCAAGCCAGATGGTCCTTGAAAAATGTACAATCGAGATGACCTGAGAAAGAATAAACATAAACAACAAAAACAATTACAAATATTAATATGTAACTTAGGAAAACCATGAGCATTTACAAGTTATATCCATTTTTTTCTTTTTTTTGTCTTTTTAAGATATTTAACATACAACCAATATTCTAGTAGAGTCAGATCAAGAAAAAAAAATGTTTATATCAAAATTGATTAAAAAAAAAAAAAAATTCTCTTTAAGATATGAAGCTGGCCAATTACAACAAGTCTAATGTGGTGATAACAAAGAATTGATAAAATAACACCATTAATGAAGGGGGAAAAGGCACTGCCATAAACTTTACAGACGAAAGAATGTCAAAGTTTTCAAGTCTTGTTTCAGCATTATTGATCACCCACATAGTTGTTGACAGAAATCAGTGCCATTGGCCACCCAATCATAAGTTGATGCAGAGTAAAAAAAAAACATTTGAAGTGCTCTTATTCTAATATCAGGTCCATGTGTCAGCTTAAATTCTTTTAAAAAGTTTTCTTTACTACTTGGGCTGTAAGGAAGTAGCTGCGACTTTCTTAGACCAGACAACTATTCTGTAACTTTATATCTATTGTCTAGAAAATAAAACTGCTTCTTAAAAAAATTGGTTTAGAAACGGCAGAACTTAGCAGTCTCCTTCATGGAAACAGATCACCTGTTTGAAGCTGTTAGAAAGGAACTCTTCATGAGCTGTTTGCAAGCTAGCTGCTTGCAAGCTGCTTCTAAGGAGCTTAGAAGCTACCAGCTTCACAAGTACAACAGCAAGATTATCGCCATAACCAAACCACCATAGACTCATCAAGATACTTTTTAGTAGGACACACATAAAAAGTTTGAATTCCTAGCAGATAAAGCTTAATCTACTATAATATTTAGATACCTAGTTGGAAATCACACTAACCGAGTGAAACGTAAAAATTACGTAGCGAACATCTAGTGACCTGGAAATATGGACAGGCAAAACATAGACAAGGAAATAATACCACAAAGTCATTGCAGTCATGTTACAATTCACTTACTGGCCAAAACGAACGACATCACCAACATGTAGGTCCACATAAACCCTTTTCTGAACCTGTTAATGTTGGAAAATCAAAGGACAAAAAAATCAGGATTATTGTATTACACTAGTTAAAAACAAAGAAAAAGTATTACAAGTTGATCAGCATTCATATTCAGTAAAAAGGCAGAAATGAGTTTTACAGGAAAGACCATTTAGATAGACTAAGATAGTATCAAATAAGTATGAATTTGATAAAATGGGTAAGTTATTGTTATGATATCATTTGTGTGCATACATTCCCATGTGAATTCAAATTAACAGAATGCTACAATTAAAAAAATCTCAAAAGATTGATGTAGTCGCCATGGTTTGAAACTTCTAATTCAAAACACTAAAGTAAAATTATTAGGGCAAGTCAAGGTTGAAATTTCTTCAAAAATCCTATGGTATGTTTTTCGCACACAACTTGGAGTGGAACTGAAAATTAATTGCATCGCAACCAGCTGGAAAAAATTGAATAGAAACATTCCAGAAAAAGTAGAAAGATTCACCTATCTCTAACCATTTGAAACATGCAATACAATTACACAGATTCTATAAACAAAACAACCAGTAAAAACAAAATGGCATTTTGATACCTGGTTCTTGTTAATAAAAGTACCATGAGTACTGCCGACATCATAAAGATATGCATCTCCACTTTTCTTAAACTGAATAACTGATAATTTAGGAACAAGAGATTAAGTTAAAACAATGGAAGCCAACTTAGAAATATATTCTTGGGCAACAAAGCTTGAACTGATCGCATAGCAAAGAAGAACATCAGAATAAAAAGTATCCACCTGCATGAAAACCAGAAATAGTAGGGTGCTCAAGAACAAAATCACAGAGTTCTGCACGTCCAAACATGTAAGCCCCCTTCTTGCACCTGAACAACAATAACATCAAACCCTTTAACAATCAAGAAAAATGTTATTTTTATTGGGAAAATATAAGATATCTCGACGCAAATCCTGGTAATGTTAACGGGAACAACAGTTATTCGAGCACACAACTTCATATTTCTTAAACTCAACATTGTGACTAATTTCATATTGTCTAATTCGTACTAATAACATTGAACATCAAATCAGTAACAAGAACGAGTTACAACAGTACGTTACTTTAATAATACACAACAATACTGTACAAGTAAATAAACTAATGATCGTTTCATAAGTTTAATAAAATGAAAATAAACTTACACGTCGAATTGATCAACGATGGAGCCATCCTGGAGGACCTCGAAGTAGAATTTATGACAGGGGGGTCCACTCCATTCAGGAATCTTGTAGGGCACGAAGCCATGCTGAGTGACGGAATTTGATTGGTCTTGTTGCTGAGTATCGACTAAGGGGTTTTCAGAAATCGGTTTAGGGTTAGAATTTTTGGGAGGGGACGTGGCCGTAGGTGCTGTCGTCGTCGTCGTTGTTGATGTTGAAGAGGTGGCCGATTCCTCGGCTGGGGGTTTGGGCGGTGGAGAAGGAATGTTGGTTGTCGTCATTGTGTCAAAAATTTGAACGAAGAAATTTTTGCGTTAGACTGGTTTACAGTGTTAGCAGATTTACTATGGCCGATGGCAATTTACAAAGCCGGCGATACGGCGGGTTGGGTCTGATATTGACCGGGCTGGGCTCGTACGTAAAGTGGGTTTGAAAAAATTAAGCTTAAATAGCTACATAGAAAGAGGTTTGAGTTGTAGCAAGCGACAAGTCTGAAAACTTCTCACCATATTATCCAAAGAACTAGTCAAGTGACAAAAATGCCCATCCTTTTTTTTTTTTTTTTTTTTTCAGAAGTGAAAATACAGCTAAATATAAGACGTTTACCATACAATAAAAAAATTATTCATATACAAAATATAAGATGTTTACATACAATAAGATGTTTATTGAATAAGCTATCGCTTGGCTCACCAACATCGCGAGCTTTAGTGAGCTTGAGTGTTGTGTGATAGTTTTGAAACTATCAAGGGGCAATACCTAATTTTATAGTTTTAAAATTGACAAACCCACCCAAACCCTAAATGTGTAAAAATTGATTTGGGGCTTTTGAATAGAAACAACCCTAAAAGCTGAAAGTGTTATGAGAGTTTACCCTACACTGCTGATTTGTTAGACTGGTTATGATAACTGTACATCACTCTTGCATTACACTCTGATCTAACAGGAAATAAAGCGATTCAAGCAAAAATAATATATATATATAATATATTATATATAATATATATATATATATATAATAATATATATATATATATTATAAATGGAACATCTCATATATATTAAATGCTTTCAATCAGCGTTGACTCTCGAACCGCCACCCAAAATGACGGCAACTCACCTCTACTCAAGTTTATCTTCAATTTCAAGAGTCAAGTTTGATAAACATGGTTATGATAAATTGTACACTTGCACTCTGATTCTAGTGGGAAATGAAGTAATTCAGGCAATTATATAAATATATATGGAAACTCTTCTATATTAAGTTTTCAATCACGATTGGCTCTCGAACCGCCACCAAAATGATGGTAGCTCACCTCTACCAAAGTTTATCTTCAAGAGTCACAGTTTGATTAGCCAGTATGATTAACTGTACGCTTGCACTCTTGCACTACACCTAATTCTAGTGGAAAATGAAGCAATTCAAGCAAAAAAAAAAAAAAAAAAAAAAAAAAAAAAAAAAAAGGATATATAAAATCGAAACTCTCCTTATATAATGCTTTCAATCAACAATTGGATCCTTAACCGCCACACAAAGTGATGGCATCTCACTTTTTCCCAAGTTATCTACAATTTCAAGAGTCACAATTGATATTATGATTAACTATACACTTGCACTCTTACGCTTACACTCTGATTCGAGCAGGAAATGAGCGTTTAGGCATAGTCAGCCCTGAATCGCCATCCAAAATGATGGCAGCTCACCTTTGCTCAAGTTTATCTCCAATTTCAAAAGTCACAATTTGAAGATAGGTTAACTATATATATAAATGCTTTAAATCAGCTCTCGAATCGCCATCCAAAATGATGGCAGCTCACCTCTGCCCAAGCAATTTTGCGTTTCATTAGTGAGTGGACACACTTAGTTCCTATTCTCATCTCATCATTTAACTGGGGTATGTATGCCCGTAATAATTATTTAAATAACTAAACATAAGTTTTATCATCAAAGTCACCTATTTTTCAAGTTCTTCTTTGCCATTTTTCTCATCCCTCTTTTTCCAACTAAGATGCGAGGAGATTATAGATGGGTTCCTAAGTTTGATTTCATCAGGAAGGAATTTGAATTCCAAAGATGTTACCCTCAAAGTTTAGCCAAAAGGCCAAGACGTAACATCTGGATAGGGTCTAAAAGAAGGATAAAATGTAATTTCATACAAACACTTTACCGCAATTAGAATCCACCATCATCCTGTCATTCATAATTTCTTTTACAAACTCAATATTACTCCTATGTAGGTTAATCTCAATATTTGCACCTGTCTTGAACATCACTAATGGTTGGGACTTGAGTTTATCTAAAATTTCCATTGTTACAAGCTCGTTAATATCGGGAAGAACAAGATTATTAACCTACGTGCCTACCATGGTCGTGCTATTGTTTTAGGCAATCCCGATTTTGAAAAACATTGGAAAGTGCAAACTGTAATAAGGGGTGATAACTGGTCGGCTCTAGAACTATATCGTCAGTCCCTACGAAAGTGTTTTGGGGAAGTATCTCGTCTAGGTTGCTTCACTAGTTGGATGAGAGAGGATCTGATTTTTACAAGAAACGGCACTGAAGGGCATCTATGATTCCAACACTTTAGTGAAAGGTGACCATCTTTAGATGTTGTATGGGCAAAAATCGTACCGGGTCTTATCAAGCCCAAACATGAAATAAGCACTACATGGCCCAATGCCATGACCCAACCCCGGTTGGGCCCACAGTTGGATTCACTCTACAATTGAGCCATTCCACAAATCAGGTTACTTAAGGAATGGACGATTCGACAGTTAAGCCCATTGGGCTCAAGCCCATTAGCCCACGACCTCTCCAAAGAACCCAAAGTTCCATTGTATGCTAATTCGTCTAAACTTATTTCATCTACATCCTAATTCATCTAGATCACAAATCTTACATGAATTAGGACTCTTCTCTACAAAGGCAAATAAATTAGACTTTCCAATTTCCTCAAATTTGCCATTAGAACCTAGAGTTCTATCAGATTCAAGCTTAGGCTCACACATAACAGAGGCTGACCTCATTGTGGATCCAATCTCAATACCACCTACTTGCTCCCAAAGTTCTACTCCTAAGAACCACCATCACTTCACCATAGTTCTAGTCTTCGACAAGACCCCCTATACCTTTCTCCTTAGCCCTCATTAAATAGCTTTTTTCAGCCTTATGACTGAGTGTTAGAGTGGCCTATGCAGACACCACACCGATGTTCCCTATGAGTTTGTGCTTGTTCCTTATGGTGTGAGGTCCGCAGATCGTTAATGGCCTCAACCTCACAAGATCAGTCAATTCTGCAACTATAGATTTTTACCATTACAGATGTGTCCTGCAAGCGTATTGGTTGGGAAGGATTTTTGTCATACTCCAGTTTCTCAAGAAAAGGCTAAGGTTGTACTTGTAGTTTCTAAGAGTCTGGAGAAGTCTATTCAAATACTCAAAGATGTTAAAGGCCACAGAAGAAGAAAACCAAGTTGAACAATCATCAAAGTATACAACGAGAAATTTACCTACTGCATCTTTGCCTAGTATGAAGAAGAGCCATGTAGGAAGGGTATTCACTCCAAAAAAAGGTCCAAATAGTTGAGTCTTTGAGGGACTTTTATAAGCACAAGAGGGTAGTTAAGGTGTCTCCTAGTAGGAAATAGATTATTCTGATTCAAAGAAACAGAGGATGCCTAATTTAGATCGACACTTGTAGCAAATATGATGATGATCCTGAACTTAAGCTTCTGACAAACATAAGGGTAAAACTAAGCAATTATTCGAGGATGAAATGGTGAATATCAAGCTTGCCTCAGAGAAGGATCTGATGATAAATGAGACTTTGGAACTCAACTTAACGAAAGCTGATGGGAAAAAGATCTTGAAAAGGGAGTTGGTTGAAGGTAGTTCAGAAGTTTGTTAGGCTTTTGTTAGAGGAATTTGGGCTCTAGCTGATGAAATGTTGTTGAATCATTAGGCCTCTTGATTTTGCATTTCATCATTAAGTTGGACACACTTAATTTCCTACTCTCATCTCATCATTTAACTGGTGCATGCATGAATGTAGGATAATTATTTATATCAAATCAATACATCAGTTTTTATCACCAAAAGTTAACCTATTTTTCAAGTTCTTCTTTGTCGTTTCTTTTCCTCATCCCTCTTTTTCCTACTAAAGATGTAGGGAGATTGCAGATGGGTTCCTAAGTTTGATTCATTAGGAAGGAATTTGATATTCTAAAAGATGTTACCCTCAGAGTTTCGCCAGAAGGCAAGGACATAACATCTAGACAAGGTCTAGAAGGAGAAATTGTATTTTCCTAAAAACACTTTGCCAAAATTAGATTCCGCCTTCATCATTTCCTTCATAATTTCTTTTACAAACTCAATCTTACTCCTATGCAAGTTAATCTCAATTCCCTCAGAATCCATTATATTGCGCTTGTCTTGAACATCACTAATGGTTGGGACTTGAGTTTATTCGACATTTTCTACTATTACAAGCTCGTTAATATCAAGGAAGAACAAGATTATTATTACTTGTGTGCCTACCATGGTCATGCTATTGTTTTAGGCAATCTCGATTCTAGAAAACTTTCAAAAGAGCAACATGCAATAGTGGGCGGTAATTGGTCGGCTCCAAAACTATATCATCAGTTCCTACAAAAGAGTTTTGGAAAAACATCTCCTTTAAGTTGTTTCACTAAGTTGGATGAAGAGAGGATCCAGTTTTTACAAGAAATGATGCTAAAGGGCGTCTACGGTTCCAACACTTTACAAAAAGGTGACCAACTTTTAGATGTTGTATGGTCCAAAAATCGTAATGGGTCTTATCAAGCCCAAACATAAAATAAGCACTACATTGCCCAATGCCCTGACCCAACCTTGATTGGGCCTATCATTGAATCCACTCTACAATTTAGCCCATTCCACAAATCAAGTTACTTAACAAAAATGGATGATTCAACAGTTAAGCTCACTTGGGCTCAAGCCATCGGCTTATGGCCTCTCCAAAAAACCCAAGGTTCTATTCATATCCTAATTTATATACACCCTATTTCATCTACATGCTAATTCATCTAAGATCACGAATCTTACATGAATTAAGACTCTTACTCCTACAAAGACAAGTAAATCATGACTTTTTTATTTACTCAAACTCCGACATTGTGAACCTAGAGTTCTACTAGGATTCAAGCTCCTAAGCTCACTATATAAATAGAGTCCTAACCTCACATTGTGGATCCAATCTCAATACCACCTACTTGCTCCTAAAGTTCTTACTCCTAAGAAACATCGTCACCTTCGTCGTAGTTTTAGTCTCTGATGAGACTCTGGTAAACCTTTCCTCCCCTTAGCTCTCACTGAATAGCCTTTTTTAGCCTTACTAATTTGAGCATTGTAGTGCCTACGGCAGACACCACACTAGTGTTCCTTGTAAGCTTTGCGTTTATATCTTTGTATACAGGTTTAGCAGATCGTAAGTGGCCTCAAACTCACAAGATTCTTCCATTCCGTAACCATAGATTTTTACAATCTACAGTATGGCGCCCACTGTGGGGCCTTGACAATAATCCAACTACCAACGACTTGCTCTACACAAACAACTCATATCATGATTGGAAACACTAAAGCCCCCTCACCATAGTCGAGACTCAAATTGGCACTCTCAGCTTCTATTCATCTGGTCGGTTCAGCCTTCACTCTTCCAGTCAGCTCAGTCTCACTCTTGGCCTTCTAGTCGGCTCGGTTGCATTTGGCCTCATTGGATCACTTGGCCCCTACTTAATCACTCGGCCTCACACAACCTCATTAGCCTCACTCGACCTCACTAGGCCTCCCTCGGCCTCACTCGTCCATATTCGACCTCACATGGCCATATTCAGCCTCATTCAACCTCCATCAACCTGATACGACCTTACTTGACCACTTGACCACCCTCACATGGGCTCACTCAGCCACTCGGCCTCATTCATCATCCTCAATACTCCCACTCGTTGAAGTCTCTTCAGAAGAGTCACTCGACTCTTTATGACTCAACTCAGCTCATCCCTAAGATGCCCACTCATTGAAGTCTCCTATCTAAAAGAGTCACTCGACTCTTCACGACTCAGCTCTGCTCATCCCTAAGGCGTCCACTCATTGAAGTCTCCTCTTTAGAAGAGTTACTCGACTCTTCACAACTCGGCTTATCCCCAAGACACCTCGACTCTTTGCCACATGGCTCAACTCATCCCCAAGATGCCCATTGGAACATTCTTTGTGTGTGTAGGTCCAACAGATCATCAGTGGCGTCAACCTCACAAGTTCAGTCTGTTCCACAACTGTAGATTTTTAATATCTAAAGATATGTCCCGCAAGCGTATTGGTTGGGAAGGATTATTTTGTCATACTAGTTTCTCATGAAAATGATGAGGTTGTACTTATAGTTTCTAGTGAGTTTAGGGAGTCTTCTTAAAATACTTTGAGATTATCAAAGGCCACGAAGAAGAAAACCAAGATGAACAATCATCAAAGTATACAAGAAGAAATTTACCTACTACATCTTTGCCTAGTATGAGGAAGAGCCATGCAGGAAATGTACTCACTCCAAACAATTGAGTCTTAGAGGGACTTTTCTAAGCAAAAGAGGGTAGCTGAGGCGTCTCCTAGTAGGAAATCTGATTATTCTAATTCAAAGAAGTAAAGAATGCCTACGGTTTTGGTCGCCATTGGTAGCAAATATGACGATGATCTTGAACTTGAGCTTCTTGGTAATCATAAGGATAAAACTAAGCAATTATTTGAGGATAAAATGGTAAATATTAAGCTTGCCTCAAAGAAGGATCCAATGACGAATGAGGCTTTGGAACTCAACTTAACGAAAGCTAATTCGAAAAAGGTCTTGAAAGGGGCGTCAGTTGAAGATAATTTAGATGCTTGTCGGGCTTTTGCTAGAGGAATTTGGGCTTTAGCTAATGAAATGTTGTTGAATCGTTAAGCCTCTTTATTTTGCATTTCATTAGTGAGTTGAACACACTTAATTTCCAACTCTCATCTCATCATTTAACTGGTGCATGCATGCACGTAGTATAATTATTTATATCAAATCAATACATAAGTTTTTATCATCAAAAGTTTACCTACTTTTCAAGTTCTTTGCCATTTCTTTTCCTCATCCTTCTTTTTCCAACTAAAGATGCGGAGAGATTATAGATGGGTTCCTAAATTTGATTTCATCAGGAAGGAATTTGATATTCTGAAAGATGTTACCCTCANAACAAAAATTATACTAGTCCTGATGCTTTTGACATGGCTTGTGGTCTGACTCTGGGCCAACACCTGGAAGATGATGATTAAAAGCCATTAGATTCCAAATTGTAAAGGATAAACTTAAAAATGGAAGTTTGTTCTTCCAAATCAGGCTTTAAACGCCAGTTCTATATAAATCCTTTTGAACTATTTCTTTTCTCGATTCCTAGCCATCCTGAAACTGTTTTTTGGAATTTCAGATTGATCGGAAGATTGCCCGGTGAAAGTTTAATTTATTTATTTTTTAAACTCTGGGTTCTTTGTCATATTAAGAATTGAAGATGGACTAAATATACAGCAAAGTTACATGGAAAGCAGTTCCGATTTTCATTTATCCCGTGGGTAAACGACATGTTGTTGAACCAATTTAAGGTGTGTGCACTTTGAATCAATTTCTTAATATCATTAACAAAATAATGCATTTATAACTTCTAATCTGAATTTCATTGAAAAAGTTGATACATTCGTTAATTCTGGACAAGATATCTTGCATGCACTCGAGCATATACGCCTTGTACAAGGGCATATTTCATGAAATTAGAACTAAACGGAGATTTCTGCTGTTATTTGAAAATCATTTGAATCTTTAGCTACACTTAATAGACCCCTATAGAATAGATGATCAATTAATATAATGGGTTGCACAATTCAGGTTCTATTTCTGTTAGGAACTGCAAACAAAAATAGCGAGTCTTCTGTCTACGCAAGACCAAAGAGTGTATGGCATTTGGGGGTTTCTTTTGGTTAAAAATTGACATTTTATTAGGAAATGTGTGAAACTACTAATACCATGGTACGAATTTAAGTTGAAATCAAATCATGTAATGTGGTATAGATTAAGAAGTCAGCTAACAAGGAGGTGAAAAATGCACAAGATATTCTATAAAATTTAAAAATTGGGAAAAAATGGCAAGTTGATTACGAGAAGGAATAGGATGATACATGTCTTCCAACACCGAAAAACTAAGCCATGTCATTCATCTCTTTATCGGGACCAATAAACATGGTATAACACACAGAAAGAGAAATAAGAAAACACCCCAGGAGTCGCCCAAACAATGGCGCTATCTTAAACGATCCAATGCCCCATAACTGTGTAAGGGCAACCTGAAACTCACGAATAAATGTATTTGATGAGATATCAGTCACAATTATCATAACCCAATTTATCAGCCTGAAAAAACCAAAAATAAGAAATTCCAAAATGTTCTATTCATTCATTTCTATTCACCACAACCTATAATAATAAACATTGGCACGACTACCACTCTTGAGTTGTCAAATTAGATTAACGCAGTCAGCTTTGCAGAGAGAGGATCACTATATGAGAATCCAAAACACATGTCCTACTTGATATTTCTAGATGATGACATAGGATAAAATACCATACCTCTATGTATTGGACATTTACAACTTTGCTGGTTTTCTCTAGCAGAAGTCCCCGGGCTAAAAATACCTACATTGAGCACAAATGTTAGAAGTCAATTTGTAACCAAAGCAAGGTGAGAAATGATTTAAAGGAAGAAGAAGAAGAAACTGATATTTAGTGCTACAATCACGCAGAGATATAATTGCCAGAATTTCACCTCTGCCAAGAAAGCCAGAACACCAAGTACTAGCATCAGGAGAATAGAATAAAGACTTGGCAGCACAAGTTTCTGCATCATTAAAGTTAAAATAGTTGAGAAACAATCAGAACACATACAGACAATCTATGCAAAAGTTATGATCTCAGTAGATTACAATCTCATCCAGCTCAAGTGTTTGGAATATAATATCTCCTAGTCAACAATAATGCAAAAGTTCAATATCTACCAGATTAATTATTGAAAGTTTTTCTTTTTTTCTCCACAGTTACTACTGAGTTAATTTTTTAGCTTCCTATCAGTTACAGTTCTCCATATATGACTATATCAATGTAAAAGATTCCATACTCAGTCATCCTTCATGTGACTAGGTAATGACTAACAACAAAATGTCCACCAAAACAAGAAACTTCATGCGCAAAGGCAGCCTAACTCCATGTGTAAAAGAAAGGTTGGCTAACACGATTCAAGTGATGTGGGAACCACCATCCACTCTCACACTCTTGTGTGTTCCAATTTTTTTTATTTTTTATTTTTTTGGTGTGAGTGTGGAATATATCCACCCAAGCAAAAGGGATCCACCATTTAATTAATACGAGATGTGAATCACTTCTGCCAAACAGTAAACACTATATGTTTACTATGCAGAACTTACCTCAAAGACAAATGCACATATCGCAGCAGCAGGGCTGGCAAGTACGCCAAATGAGAATAGAGTGACCCTGAAAAATTGCAGGTTAAATAATCAAGGACGAAAATCAATGGCAGCAAAATTATAGAAGTCAAAGAGCACAACATAATTTCAGATCAAGAAAGTAAGATATCTCACACAGGTTGATCAGACGCCTTTGCTCCAGCTTTTATAAGGCAGAAGTTGATTCCACCAGTTATTGATGAAATTAATCCAACCAAGATGGCATATATATGGTGGCTTTCCCTAACATTCGAATTACTTGCTTTCCCATTTTTAACTAACTCTCCTGACAAAAAAAGAGATAAATTCTCCTGCATAAGTTCAATAAAGGCAATAAATGCACTTTGGAATGGACATGTGTTAGATGGAATCTTAGTTATTCAAAGTATTTGGATCCACTAGTCTAAAAATTGTGTAAGTAATAGGGTAAGAATATGGTGCCATTGATCCTAATCCCATATAGAAAAAAACAAAAAAAAAAAAAAAAGCAGCTAACAGATGGCAAGAAACTGACAGACAGAAACAGAGATAGAGATAACAGAAGGCTTATGATGCATTTAGCAGGCTACTGACAAGGCTAGATTTATCTCTAAGAAAGCATCAACAGCAGCAGCATAGCAACAACACACACACAAATAAAGCATGTAATGGAATCAAAGACAAGTACTAATGAATTCTTACTAGTTTTCAGTTTCTTTAACTCACTTCTCTACCTTGTGTAGTAAACATATGTTGAAAAATGAAGAGCACACCGAAGAAACTGCACGCAAGACCTGGAAAGGGAAGAATGATTAAGAAAGCAATCACTTCCTATTTAACAATTTTCAACTTCCTATAATCTATACCAAGATTCAAGATAGAAGAAAGAAAATACTACCATACCTCCAATGTCAGAAATTTTTAAGTTCTCACGCAAAACAATTCTTGCCATAATTGAAGCCATAACTGGAGTAGTGAAGTTTAATACAACAGCCTGAGACAAAGGTAAACTCTGAATGCTGGAAAGGAAAAAGAGAAAACTGAAAGTTATACTTTTTCCAAAGATTAAAGCTGACAAGACAATGAAAATCCTAAGCATAATACAGAATTTAAATTCATCTAATGAGTAACAAACATTAAATGTAAACATCGTATGATCACAAGTTATGATAAAATTCAACAAATTAATCTAATATGCTCATCAGAAAGTAATGTACTGAAGAAACATCCTTAATCATATGATCTTAGTAATGAGATCCACTAAATGTCTAAGAAGCAGCAAATCCTCTGAAAATTTTCAGTAGTGATAGAAGGTGATTCAAGGATTTACTAGTAAGGTATAAGTTATACGCTGTTCTACATAAACAAATAGAGTGTTTTTCTACTCTTAATATAAATATAATCCGATACCATATGCAGGTACCATGGATATGAAGTGAAACTTACCAAAAGACAAAACTGAACAACGAGAGATATCCTGTGAGGGCTCTTGAAATCAAAAGATTCCTAGCATTTGTTGGCCCAAATATTGGCTGTCCACTTCTTCTTAACCATAAATATGATAATATCATTATTATTGTGCATCTTGTAAATGCAGTCTCAAACAAGGGAATAGACTGAACTGGCATTCCAAAAAAAAAAAATTACAAAAAAAAAAAAAAAAAAAAATTACAATCAGTGTTCAAACTGAGATGCAATGCTCAAGTCTATGTAGAGCCAAACAGGACAATATCCAAGAATTCTTGAAATAAGCTTTACAATAACTAACAAAAAAAATTGCTAGTCATGCAACTAAGCCATGCACCCTATCTAACCTCACACTGAACACAAGCTAAAGTTTAAGAAGTAACTTTGATTTCTTCCTCATAGCTGTAAAACATTAAAGAATCTTTCCAATCTTCAATGGAATAAGATATGGTTGGATGTTCTAAAAGAGTATGCAAAAAGAGAACCTGATCCCTAATTGACATGATGAGTGATACTTCGTGGAACTGTCTTTACTGATTACCCTATATTGGTATAGAAACTTAGAACTCTGCCAAAGGCCAATACATTATATATAATATCAGATAGGACACAGAAAGTGGCTTGAGATCAAACTACCATAAAGTGTAACAAAGGGTACTTACCAGTAAAAATATCAGAAATCAATTCCATGAAAAAGTAGATAGTTGATGATACGGCCATACATATTAATCCTGAGTATCTAGATCCATTCCACACCCACAACAAGAAACGAGTTAGTGGTAATGTCTCCGTTTCTATCACTTGTTCCTGCTAATACACATCAGAGTCACAATGTCAATCAAAAAAGTGATTCTTCTTGTTTTCAATTTCAAATGTAATGGTTAACCAATTAGTTAGTCAGGGCACATGCATATTGAAGCAACATTCTTTCTAGCGCCCAACTATTTAATCACTTCAAGTTTTAATGTTCCTTCACGTCGCTTATCTTTCTCTTCATTATTCTTCATTCAAACCAAGTATGTAATCTAATATACGACAGCTAATTAGAAAGAAATTGCAATTAAATTATAATTGTAAATTTACCAGATAATAAAGTACAATAAACAGTAACTAAAAAGAAGTTCGATTATAATAAACAGATTAAATTAGGGTTTCACATATACCCGAGGCTTTCTTCGAGAATAAGAGACTGAGAAAATGTTGATCTTGGGTTTCTCAGATTGAATTAAGAGAGGAGTAATTTCCTCGGAGGCTGTAACCTCAGCATCAACTGATGATGGTGATGCGTCACACACAATCAGCTCAACCACCGCTTGATCTCCGTTGCTCGTCTCTGTGGACGAAGACATCGTTTCGCACATTCAAAAAGTAAAAACCCTAAAAAAAAAGTTTATATACAGTGCCGTAGACACCAGGTTAGCCAGGTTCAAGTATGGTGGTTTCATAGAAGGGGGAAAAAGAAAGGAAATGGTACACTTATTCTGGCTGGTTGACAGTGACAGGTAAACGGTCAAGTGGGGGTATACACGTGGCAGTCCACCAGCAAGATGGTCCCCACTAGCGGAGGAAGCTTCTATTTTGTTCTTGAGCTAATAATTAATCTTGGAGATGTATGTTTGATGGAATCTTGGAAGGTTGGATGATGATATGGTGTCACATTTGGTTCAAAAATCATGTTTTATTTTATTAATAAATTCAAACCCTAAATAAGGTTGGATGATGATATGTTATGTTTATGATTTTGTTNCTATATTGGTATAGAAACTTAGAACTCTGCCAAAGGCCAATAAATTATATATAATATCAGATAGGACACAGAAAGTGGCTTGAGATCAAACTACCATAAAGTGTAACAAAGGGTACTTACCAGTAAAAATATCAGAAATCAATTCCATGAAAAAGTAGATAGTTGATGATACGGCCATACATATTAATCCTGAGTATCTAGATCCATTCCACACCCACAACAAGAAACGAGTTAGTGGTAATGTCTCCGTTTCTATCACTTGTTCCTGCTAATACACATCAGAGTCACAATGTCAATCAAAAAAGTGATTCTTCTTGTTTTCAATTTCAAATGTAATGGTTAACCAATTAGTTAGTCAGGGCACATGCATATTGAAGCAACATTCTTTCTAGCGCCCAACTATTTAATCACTTCAAGTTTTAATGTTCCTTCACGTCGCTTATCTTTCTCTTCATTATTCTTCATTCAAACCAAGTATGTAATCTAATATACGACAGCTAATTAGAAAGAAATTGCAATTAAATTATAATTGTAAATTTACCAGATAATAAAGTACAATAAACAGTAACTAAAAAGAAGTTCGATTATAATAAACAGATTAAATTAGGGTTTCACATATACCCGAGGCTTTCTTCGAGAATAAGAGACTGAGAAAATGTTGATCTTGGGTTTCTCAGATTGAATTAAGAGAGGAGTAATTTCCTCGGAGGCTGTAACCTCAGCATCAACTGATGATGGTGATGCGTCACACACAATCAGCTCAACCACCGCTTGATCTCCGTTGCTCGTCTCTGTGGACGAAGACATCGTTTCGCACATTCAAAAAGTAAAAACCCTAAAAAAAAAGTTTATATACAGTGCCGTAGACACCAGGTTAGCCAGGTTCAAGTATGGTGGTTTCATAGAAGGGGGAAAAAGAAAGGAAATGGTACACTTATTCTGGCTGGTTGACAGTGACAGGTAAACGGTCAAGTGGGGGTATACACGTGGCAGTCCACCAGCAAGATGGTCCCCACTAGCGGAGGAAGCTTCTATTTTGTTCTTGAGCTAATAATTAATCTTGGAGATGTAAGTTTGATGGAATCTTGGAAGGTTGGATGATGATATGGTGTCACATTTGGTTCAAAAATCATGTTTAAATTTATTAATAAATTCAAACCCTAAATAAGGTTGGATGATGATATGTTATGTTTATGATTTTGTTTGTTACTTAATATTAAGGATCAGTATTACATAATAGGATTGGATTTAATTACTACTGGAAAAGTATGAAGAGATTTGTGAACCTTTTTTTTTTTTAACTGATTGTAATATAATCGTCACTTTTGTTTATTCATCGTTCCCTTTTGGTCCGATTATTAAGTGACCTATATATTATATACGAGCTTTAAGATCAGATTCAAATACATTTGTTTAAATACTCAATGAATTTATGAATTGGAATAGGAAACACTTTATGGATAAAGCGAGTATTTGCGGATCGAAAAAACGATGCCAAAATAAAATTAGGTATCATTGTCTACATGAACATTATCCAATTTAGTATTAACTATATTTGGTAAAATACTAAACAGTACCTTTTAAATCTTTCTTTTCAGTTCAATGTCTATACTCCTTCAATGTAACAGAAACGTTCATACTCTAAAATCCAAATTTTTAGATTCAATACGAGAATGGAATTCCTTAAATGCACCTAGAGTTTGTACAGAGAGAAGGCACACAATTATGATTTTAGAAGATTATATTATACAGCTCTATATCCCAAAAAAATTGAACACATCCCTCATTACGCAGTGAGTTGCTCCCAATATCAGCAGCAACGTAACTACAGAGAATGCCATTTTGGCAATGTCATCTTCCTATGTTTCTGAAAGAATAATGATTGAAAAGTAGTCACTGCAATTGCACATCGGGGATCATCAGTTGGAAACCTTCACAGTATCGAATGTGGTGATCTTTAAAAAAGCATCTTTGATGTTAAGCTCAAGCAGAGGAATTCTTCATCTTCTGTGAATCTCAATCAATGCCAGTCATTTATCTCCAGCTTGGTAATTGGAGTTCATTGACATTTCTATTTCTTCAAGAGAGCGTCCTTTAGTTTCCACTATAAAGTAATAAGCAAACAATGCTGACAACAGAGAAACACCACCAAATCCAGCGTAAACTGGAGCAACTCCAAACATCTCCACTAAGTCGAGGAAAAATAGACCCACCATGAAATTACAAACCTAATTCAACGCACATGTGCAAGTTCAGAGAAAAAAACTTCACCATGAACAAGATAAACAAATCTTATCAAGATTTCAGGAGCAGTGGAGCACAAGTAGAAAGCAATTTTGTTTTCTTTTTGGCAATGTATTTAATACCATCCTATCCAATATTAGGGTGAAATTGCGCTAGTTGCAGTAATGAACCTATAATTTCTGCTCCCATTAGATTTCAACATAAGTTAATAATTGACAAATGGCAATTATAGCTTTTAGTATGTATATAGAAGTTGCAATAGCCAATATACTCAAAACTGAACATTACATACCCAATGAACACAGAAACTAAATCCCATGATCTTCCCACGTGTCCTGCTGCTGCTGAGCTCTGGTATAATAAGACCAGTTACAGGGCCAGCTCCAATAGCAAAGGTGAACATGTACCTATATGAAAGCATAGGTGAGAGTGAGATCAGTGGACTTGTCCAAATTAATTAAAAACAAAAATTATTTTGGTGCCATCAACCATTAATCTTTTAAAGTGTTTCATTTTTCCTATTGTGAGAACTATTTAACAACTCAATAAAAGAACGGTTCTTTTGAGTTCAACAGCCAACCAGGGCTGAGCAAGCAGGAGCTAAAGCTCAACTAGATTGCTTTGATCAGCAAAAACTTGACAAGCCTGAATCATAAAAAAATAGATAAATAAACAACCAGCAAGAGGTTTTAACAAGTAGCCGAGCATGCTCACAGCCTCACTTATCTTGAATCATTTTTTTTTTTTAGTTCAGGAAAAAAGAAAAGGTGACCCTTAGGATAATCAATTGGAAGAATTAATTTGTTTTCATCATTAAGCTAAAAGGCAAATAAAGCTTACAAAAGAGTTCCAAGAATTGATAAGTTGTGACCCAAATCTTCATCTAACGGCAAACTGATAGCACAGACAACAAGAAACATTGAAACTGCCTGCAAAGAAAGAAAATTAGAAATCAAAAGCAGAGTACAACTAGAGTTCACACTTTTTTCTCTAAGATCAGAGGGTGGTTGATGGCACCATTTACCTACGATCCCAAATCCCAAAAAAAAAAAAAAAAAAAGAAAAAGAAGATCCTGGAACCGTTAAAAAAAAACACCTCTTTTACCCAATAATGAATGAACTTCTTGACACCATCAAACCCCCATTTATTTGTGTTTGTGGTGATACGTTCTGATAGTGCCCCTCCCACAAGATTCTCCTTTTTCTAATGCACATGGTAATGCTTATTGATATTTTCCATCATAAGTTTAATTTTGGCAAAAGCATTTTACTGACTCACCATACCACTGTAACTTCCGATTAGAAGCTGCTTCCTGCCTTGCTTATCCATTAAGTAAGATGCACAAAGTGCACCTGAACATGTCCACCAGACAGCAAGAATCAGTGGCTGCCAAACAAGCAAGCATAATTCAACTTACGAATGTACTAAAAAAATTTCCCAGATCTCATACCTGCAAAGTTTGTAATTCCAACAAATAAGCTTGGCAAAGCACCATCTGTAATTCCAACATCTTGGAAAGTCAATGATGAAAAATAAAGGACTCCATTTATGCCCGCAAATTGTTGAAGCATAAAAAGGGCACCTCCAATGAATGTAACTGCACCCATACGAAGGAAAACTATCATAAAACTTTGATTTGTATGCTCGTCCGACATATATAGCTAAATTACAATTTAAAATCACTATTAGGATAGAATTCCAAGCCAAGGCATTATGCAACTACTTAAAAACGTAATATACAAAAAGGAGAGGGGTTAGGGGAAGAAAAGAATATTATATTGTACATGAAATGAGTAGCTATCTCATAAAGCAAAACATTTTTGCAACATCAATATGCCATAAATGCAATACTCAAAAAGCCACCTTGATACAACCTCTTGAGTGTGGTTCCTCAAGGAGTTCCAACCATTGGCTGTCCAGATCACTACCGTCATTTTTTATGACTGACTGAAACTCCTGAATTGCTTTGTCAACTTCAGATTCTCCCCAAAGATTACTGATAACAGCTTTGACATCATTCAACATACCTACCTACAAAACACCATAAGACAGCTTTTTCAAACGAGACCCAAAGCTATTCAATTTTTCTATCAAAAGGTGAAACAAGTCATACTTTACATAGCCAGCGAGGGCTGTCCACTGCAAACTCCATACCAAGTGCAAGAACAACACCAGGGACACTTGCAATATAGAACATTGTTCTCCACCTGAAAAACATTGTTTAATTAAATGTAAAGTTCCGGGATCCTCTCGTAAAAAAATATCAGGAATTTTACACTGTACATGGCAGAAGGAACTGTCCATAAATGCATGCAGGATATCACAAGAACATAAATAAACGTCACACAAGCATAAGAGTAAGCTTAGATCTGTAGTGATAGATCTAAATGCAACTAACAGCATATCTCATCAGCAACTAGGAGGAAACAATTAAAAAATAAAAATGAAAAGAATCTCACCAATGTGGATCATCTTCTGCAGGAATTCCTAGAAACAATGATGCAATAATCCCAACGCAAGTACCAATCTGACACAAGGTTCCCAGTGAACCCCTATATTTTGTTGAAGCAACCTAAAAAAGTTAAAACAAACCGAGAAATAGATGTTTAGTGAGAATTACAATTAGATGATTACTTAGGAGTTGTAATATTGTCCACTAAAACAAATTACTATTACCTATACCAACAAGAGACAAAATTGAATAAACAACAAGAGTTGATATGAACAGGCAAGAAGATGCTAAATTTTCACCCATTCCCATTACTAGAAGGCATAAAAAGGATGAAAATTCTTGACATCATGTGATGTGAGTATAATAGTAAATTCAGCATATTTGCTAATAAGCAGTACCTCTGAAATATAAATTGGAACAAGAACTGTGTTCACACCAATACCAAGGCCGACTAGAAATCTTCCCCATAGCATTTCATCCAAGGACTGGGCTTGTGCACTGATTAAAGTTAGGAGTCAAAATTTAGAAATGTCTTTAAAGCAAAATCATGATAAGATCAAGAAGCCATAATTTGTGGAGACAGCAATAGCAGAGTGAAAAATACATGAACTCATGTACAAACCAAAGTAACCACGTGCTTATACCCCCACCCAAAACCGCAATCCCAAAAAAGAAATTCAGAGGGAGATGAAGCAGACAAAAGGATTTCGATGGAGCACACCATTGTAATATGTATGTGAATTACCTTATAACTGCACCAAGTATCAACGGTATTGTATCAATTTGAAAAGTTCGCCGACAACCAAGTTTATCTACCAGAGAACCTGAGCTTATACTTCCAATAAATGCACCTGCTATAAATATGCTCACTACAAGTCCCTCAAGAATTGGATTTCCTTTGAACCCAAGCTCTTGAGCAATTGAAGCAATAGGACCATTCATTACCCTGCAAAACACACATTGTAGCTCCAGAAAATTTCACTTTAAAACCAAAATTAACAGATAACTGCAAATATTCATCGATGTTCCTGAATTTTTCAATGCAAAAACTTGTAAAGTCCAATTATCTAAAGTAAATATAATAAATTAAGTCATAATTAAATTTCCCTATAACACATGTATTTATCATTTTTATCACCTCTTCTTTAAATTAGCTTATTGGTAACCAAACAATCACCAGGAGAAATTCTGATTATGTTACTGTAGTATGTTTAGGAGTGCTTGAGTGCTTTTGACATCGTTAAAGGTGTTCCCGGACAGGTAAAAGTGCTTTTATAAATTTTTTAGTATTTGAAGTGTTTCTTGGATATCTACTATATAGATATTTTTTTATTTTTTTCCAAACGATTGAAGTTCTTTTTAAAAATTTTACGAGTGTTCTTCATAAAGACACTTTAAGTGCTTCTACTTAAAATGCTTTCTACAAAAGCACTCCCATTCCCAACCACAATTAGAACGTTTCACTTTATAGGTGATCTTCTTAAAGTGCTCTTCAGGTAAAAAATGCGATAAAAAATTATTTATTCATATAATTTTGAATAAGCATTTGAACGGTGAAAATGAGATCGTACTCAAACTCTCAAAGTCACTTTCTACTAAAGTTCTCTCGAAATGCACAATTACGAAGAGATAAAACAGTAAAATTAACAGGATAAACGGAGACTCACCCTATGTGATAACCAAACAGAAAATTAGACATAGAAGCTAACAACACGTGCGGAAAAGCAGGTAACCATCCCAAATCATGTCCTTCACTAGCCTTCTCATTATCTAGTGATAACAATTCTTCACTACCTGTAATTCAGTTTTACTCAAAAATCAAATTCAAACTATAAACAAAATTTCGTATAAATTGATGATTAAATTGAGTAAAGTTAACAACCTTGCTCTTCTTTCCGAGACTGTAAGGCGGGAACTTGCTTCTTTCCCGCCGAAATTTTGAAATTAATCGGCCGATGCTTAAACCTAAAACGCAGCGTTTCAAGTTTGGGGAAAGGTGAAGAAACAAGGTATGGCGGAGGAACCGAGAGAAGCGATGGAACCAGAGGAACCGGATGGTGAACTACGGTAGCCACCGGCATCTGATCACGGATATTTTTGCCCTTTTTGAGAGAGGACAGAGAAATTATCGTGAAATCGATTGTGATAACGCCACGTGCTTGGAGATGTGGGTCCGCTATAAGGCGGGAAGAGCACGTGGCAAAGGCAATGTTTGAGGATAATCTGGGTGCATTTGGTTTATTATTTTGGATAGGATTTTGGGAATAATATTGGGTAGTTGAATAGGAGAGTGTTACGAGATAAAATTTAAAAATTTATAAAAAAATCCCTAGGTTTACTAATTTAATTAAACACCCCAACATATAAAATGACAAAAACACCCCCACCACCTGCAGTGCCAGATTCCGGCTACCACTGTCAGAATCTTGTCGAAAAATTGCGTTGCGACACAGCCAGGTCAGATCTGTGTCGTAACGCGTCACTATGGTCTTTTGCGGCCAGATCCACCACGGATCTGACCGGAAAATGCCAGATCTACGGCCAAATGTGGCCGTCGACGGCCGGAAAAGGCCAAAGAAGTCCATCTTTGGCCGTCAGCGACGGCCAAAGATATGGCCGTCATTCTCGGTCAATGACGGCCAAAGATATGGCCGTCGTTTTCGGTCAACGATGGCCAAGATTTGGCCGTCGTTTTCGGTCAACAATGGCCAAGATTTGGCCGTCGTTGACCACCTTTTTCGGCCAGATCCACTGTGGATCTGGCCGGAAAAGGCCAGATCGGTGAACTACTGGCTAGTGGCCGTCGTGGTGTAGGCCGTTGTATAGATTTCGGCTACCACCGACGGTGGTTGCCGAAATCTGGAAAGTATGGGTTAATAGGGGTGTTTTTGTTAATTTTTAAACTTTTTTGGGGGGTATTTAATGAAATTAATGAATTTAAGGGGTCTAAAAATAATTAAAAAATATAGTACTATTCCTGGAATAATGTGTCAAACAATATTTGGAGAATATGATTGGGAATATAGGTAGAATACCTATATTCTTAAGGTCGAACAACTACACGTCTACACCTACCTAAAGTTTGTCATAACATTGGTACCTAAAAGGTTTAGAAATGACAAATAGATACTTTCCATCGTATTTTCTTAGAGATTTTTGTCTGCTAAAGGATAATATAGTAATTTCATCTAAATGTTTTAATTTTAAATCTTTTTCTCCGTATCCATTCTCTTCTATTCTCTTTCTTTTTTTTTCTTCACCAACTTGATGTGAAGATGCAAAACTTTATGAGTAAAGAAGCGAGAATTAGGTATGTATGTGCGCTACGCTGACGATATAGCTTTTGCTATTAAGGAAGGAGCCAACTCAAAAATAAATGGTAAGCCAAGGATTCAAGCAATTCTTTAATGAGGCCTTGACTGAGCTGAAACTGGAAGCAACTAGTTTTGAGCTCGTTCGAGGAATAAGCAAACCCTGTCAAACCCTGGTTTTAGGAGNCTACGCTGACGATATAGCTTTTGCTATTAAGGAAGGAGCCAACTCATAAATAAATGGTAAGCCAAGGATTCAAGCAATTCTTTAATGAGGCCTTGACTGAGCTGAAACTGGAAGCAACTAGTTTTGAGCTCGTTCGAGGAATAAGCAAACCCTGTCAAACCCTGGTTTTAGGAGTGCTTGCCTCAATCAGTCCGGATGGAACTATCAAAATGATAGCGCCCATTAATAGTAATAGATTCAAAAACAAACTGAATCATAAAATGGATAACTTCCTCCTTTCTTTTTCGTCTCTCTTTTCTTGTATCTCTTTGTTTCCCTCTTTCTTCTCTCTTGAATTAAACCAAAAAAATTTCAACGGATCAAAGTCATAAAAAATATATCACGGCCACCGGAAACAAATTCGGCTGTTTCAATCTGTCTGGTTACGATGTGGAGCACTAGATCACATCACAACGGATTTGTTGTTCTAGATCCGTTGCGACTTAGGGTGTCCACCACGATCTGGACTAGATCATGGTGGTTCAAGCCCAGATTGTGGCAGATCGGGTGAGTTCACAAAGTCATCGCACTCTTCCGCCACGATCTGGCCAATTTCGGCATCCACTTAATTTTGTTCTTCACTTCCTCCTCACATGGAGGCCAACTAGTACCTGGTTTATTTTTCTTTTCTTTTTTCTGCTTGTGGGTCTGGAGATAAAGTAAAAAAGAGAACCCATTGTTGTGTTGGAGAAAGGCGGAAGGGAAAGAAAGGTTGGAATTGCTTTACTGTGAGAATATGATTTTGATTGTTTGTTATTGTTGATGCTTGATTTTGACACCAACTATTCGCATGTGCAAAGTGCTAAGCGGACTAAGAAATTGCACGTGATGAATTCAAGAGATTTGAAGGTGATATTGAAACGTAAATAAAAGATTGGCAAGAGGAGGTTTTATAATGGTTCGGATGCTCAAAAGTAAATCCTACGTCCACTGTGATTATATTAATAGGGGGTTACAGTCAGGTCGCACTCGGCGAGCTGAGTTACAATAGCGAGAATGAATGGGTAGAGTGAGAGAGAGAGTGTGTGTGTGTGTTTTAGATGGTGAATGAGTCAATCCTATAAACTGGAGGAGAGCCCTTTATTTATAGTGGGAGGATCTAAGATGGCAATCATGATTCTTCGTGCGGGCAGGTGTGGTACAATTTCTAACTCGCTTCCAATTGGTTGCCTGTATGAGAGGTATCCTTAAATCGCGCACAGCTTCAACAGGTGGACAACTTCCAGCCACTCATAGGTCTGGCGTTCACCTGCCTTACTGACGATGGCCTTACCTCTATGGTCATTGCGGGACGTGGCTGCATCTTGGCTTCAGAAAGCCTTCTTGAATTCTGATTGGTTCTTGCTGACGCATGCTTGCGCCAGCCCTAGTTCTTGGGCATAATAGTTATAAAGGTTGGACTTTGAATTTCATGGATTAAAATTTAAAGCCTTGGATCTTGTTTTCTCTTAATTTTAGATTAGGCTTAAAATTGTTGTTTTCTCTTAAAAAATTGTTGTTTTTGGGCAGTGGGTTTCGCAATATTTGATTTTGATTGGTGGGTTTGTGCTTGATGATGATTTTCATTGTCATTTTATCATGTGTCTGATTTAGTTTTTGTTTCAAGTAAATTTGGTTCTGGTATGCATGCCTTTGTTTGATGATGAGTTTTCTATTTTTTTTTCGTTTGATAAATTTATTAAATTGTTAAATATATTGTTGAATTGTTTTTTGTTTTGACGTACTCTAGAGATTTTTCATATTGATATGTTATTAATATCACTATTTCATTGATTTTGGTGTTGGTTCTGTGTGATTCTTTCCAAGTTACAGTTTTTCCTTGGAAAAAATCTATTGATTGATTCTTAAATAAGGTATCATTGGAATGCCTTCTGTTTCATCTTCATTTATAAGTCTGCTTAGTAAGAATTGGTTATTTGTTTATGGTTTTAAGGATGCTTAATTTTCAAGTATGTGGTATATTTAATTAGGGTTTAGTATTGTAGCTATGGTTTTTGCAACATAGGCATGAGTTCATGATCCTCTGGTCTGTGATTTTTGCAATATAATTGTGGTTTTTTGATATAGTCACATGCAAACTTAGTCTGTTGTGTTTTTATTTGTTTGTGAACTCTTAGGGGGCGTTTGGTTCAGGAATGTTAGATTACTGGGAATATTGAATTACTGGAAAGATAGATTACCTTGAAAAATTACTGGGAATCTTTAGAAAAATATGTTTGGTTAGTTGGTGGGTATGTTATATTAATATGTTTGGTTATAGGGAATAAATTGGTGGGTATGCTATTTAAATTACTAAATTGTCCCCCTTTTAAATATTAATATAAAATTATTTTTATTATTAATTTTTGAATAATTCTTTTAACCCCCAATATTTCAGATTTAGCTAAAACACCCCCGCTTATATAAAACTTTAATTTATGATGAATCACCCCCACCTCCAGCCGCCACCGCGAACCACCGCCGGATGTGCCCGTGAGTACGTCGCCGTGACCAAGAGGCTCCGCTATGGCCGTTTTTGGCCATATTGATGGCCGAAAACGCCATATCGGGCCAGATCTGGCCATAATGGCTAGGGATCTGGCCGATCTGGCTGTTAACGGCCAGATCCCTGGCCAGACCTGGCCGATAATGGCCAGGGATCTGGCCGGAAATGGCCAGAATAGATCTGGCCCGATATGGCCGTTTTCGGCCATCATGGCCAATATGGCCGAAAAGGCCACGAAGCCTCCCGGAGCCTCCCCAGAATTTCCAGTGTTTTTAGGACTCCGGCAATTTTTCGGCGGTGGTCCGTGGGTGTTGACCCGCTGGTCGGCGGTGGGGCTGGGTGGCTGTGGTGGTGGCTGCTTGGTGGCAGTGGGGTCGTACATTATTTTAAATATAAGGGCATTATTGTCCAAAATTTTAATTAAACAAGGGTAAAATTGAAATAGGATATTAATGTAAATTTGTTTTAAAGTAGGAGTATTATTGTCCAAAATTTTTATTAATAAGGGATAAAATTGTAACAAAAAAAGATAACCCTGGTAATCTCAGAAAACCTAAGAAAATGGAGGTAATCAGATTACCTCTTATAACCCTGGTAATCTCAGAAAACCTAAGAAAATGGAGGTAATCAGATTACCTCTTATATTACCAATAGTAACCACTACCGGTATTTGAAGATTACCGGTATCTTATATTACTTGACAACCAAACGTGGTAATCAAGTAATATAAGATGACATTACCCCAGTAATGTCACTTAACCCCGAACCAAACTGACCCTTAATCTTATCTGATATAACTATATTTCTATTTTCTAACCATATTTTTTGTTTTATTATTGAAAATCATGTTGTATCTCTTTGTCTGTCTACACTTTTCTG